ACGTAGGGTTGACCCTGGTCCGAAGGCACCGCAGCGCAATTTTATCGAACCATCAACAAAGCGTGGAGTAAATTAAAAGTTGACGGAAACGCGGAATACTGTGGGGTGCAAGATCATATTTCGTTGGGTACCCCCAGGAGGCCCGTCGCGCGGCAAGAAGGCAGAGTCGGCGGACGAGTTGCAGCGCGTGATGTGCGATGTAGGACGTGCAGTGGGACACTCTATTTAACTTGACGCGAAATCCCTATAGTACACGTCCGCTGACTTTGCCTTCTTGCCGCGCGATGGGCCTTCCTGGGGGGTACCCGGGTTCGCAGTGTTCGGATCGAGTTGTTTACTTGATGCTCCGGGAGTTCCTTCTTCATATTACTGCCAACTCCATGTTTCGAAACATTTGGAAACAGAGGAGTTGTCGTGATTTGTGGATACACAAAATTGAGAGGCCGAAATAAGGTGGGCATTCAACATTCAATTTTTGCAAAATAGAGAAGCAAACTGTTTTTGAAACCCGTACTTGTACAGCATTGGTGATATAATAGCTATGAGACGATTCAGAGCAGTTTGTAAATGACTATACATACAAGCGCTCCAGAATATCGTGCAGAGTTGGCCTATTCTCTCAGCCAGATAGGACTGAATGATCGGCTCAGAAAAGTTCCTAAATCAAACAGTTCTGTAAATGCCGAAAAGGTGCTTGTTTGGCACGCAGTGCCTGAGTGCACATGGGAGAGGAAGGAGTTAGAAGAAGTCCTGTTTTTCAGTGCTTTTCTAAGTTCAAGGAGAAGAGCGACGATAACACTTAATCAAGTAACTTGAAGTACACCATGTGAGTTTTTGTGATCTCCCACTGATTTCGTGTTGTCACTAATCGTTTTCTAAGCGGTAAAGACGCTCTCATCCTCATACTCAACTCAAAAGGTGTAGAGTACAACGAATCACATATCGGACTCTATTTTCACTGCACATTAGCAGTGGTAAGATATTGAAACTCACAGCAGTGCGGCCGGCGCAACCCAAAATGAAAATACAACGAGTAGGCCCACATCAGCAAGCAAATGTGAGGCACAAATAAAACCAAAAGGGGTATGCAATGACGGTGAGCGAAATATCAGCACGATGGCCAGAATATTTAGCGCATTACCAATGATGCCCACCTAAACACACAGAAATAATCAAGCTTTCGAAGCACTGTAAAAATGTGCCGGCTGTACTTGCAAGTTGTTTCTAGTCCAAGAGTGGAGCAATTTGCTTTCTTCATACAGCGACAACTCGCTTAGTACAGATATACGCTCTGCAATCGGAAGATGTAACCACTTTTTCATGCTAAGCTCATAAGGCAGGCGGGTGCTTTTTCAGAAGAAGGGTTTTCGTCGAGCGTTGACCAGCTTTTTCGTGCTTCAGCTTGGAGAAAAAGCCGGTGCATAGATTTCTTCTGCTGAGAGGGGGAGGGATCATGTTAAATTTTCCTCGACACCTGGCTTGACCAAACATTGAAGGTTATCCCACTGTACTAAATCGAGAAGATTAGGGTAGTAAAGGGGAGGGACAGCATCAGAAGCGGAACGTCAGAGCCTGCTAAAGAAACGTGCGATGTAATCGATTGCGTCGTTATGGTCATGTGATGTAAGTTTGCAGAATCATTCGGCAGGAAACGCTGTAACTGTGACGTATTGGGAAGCAGTTACGCCCTACACTACAGAAACTATTAACTCATTCGCGACCGCGCGGGATTCACAACGTCTGCCCATTCGGACCCGCGCCGGCAAAGACGATTGCGCCAGAGCGGCCACCAATGGCCGCCATTTTCCTAGGAGACATCTTTTTTAATTCTCTCTATATATCTTCTGCTTCCCACACTTCGATACTACTCCCTAGAGAGTTATTGATGGTCCTGAACACGGACATGTGATTCATTTTGGTGCTGGCACCAAATTTTCGCCAGATGGTGCTTTGATTGAATCTCATCAAATTTACTGCAAACTTGTATTTAGGGTTATTTGAAAATGTTGAAAACACGCCTTCTCAGGTGGTGAGATATAGACTGTGTACAGATGTCCCTATCTGTCCGACAAATGAAGTGAGGGAAAAAACTGAGGGGCTCACAGGACTGCATCAGTGCTTAGTAATGGGATAGTTGTAAAAACACACGGCGCCTACGAGCACACACTCGGTCATTCGAGATGTGCTACAATCGCAGCTGGAGGGTAATAGAGGGAGCAAAGGGGAGGAGCATAAGGAAGGGGGGGAATCAACCGACTGAACCTAAGATTCAATTAGCGTTGTACTGTCGTTGTGGTGTGATGGTGATAATGTTCCCTACCACATGAGACACTTTTTGCACCCCTCTAAGGCGTTACTGTCACAAGTGGGAGCATAGTGGAGCGTAGAGCTTATGCAGGCAGGAACGGCGCCGGCGTCGCCGGGAAACAAATGCGGTGACTCAAAATTACGCATTCTCTCCCTTGTTAACATGTTTATACTGTTTATCGCATGTGATTCAACTGTCTAAAAACCAAGATCTAGAACTCAACGAGAACACTATTGTTCCAGCAATAATTCCATGCGATCGATCCACACCCGTAGCAGTTGGCATTCAGTAATGCGACTTCCCTGGAAGAGCTCAACTTCTTTAACAATAATTATGGTGAATTTTCACTTGCACTGCGATTTCTACGACAAATCAAAGGAACAAATTTCTTTGTGAAGTTCTTGACCGATACTAGAGCCGTCAATTTCTGTTGTCGCGCTAGAATTGGAGAAATGCCCGTTATCTCAACAATTGTTTTCGCTTCTAGCCAAAACTAGAACACAGCAATTGGTGCTCGCGGTGAGGAATTGCAGCCCCGTTTTTTTTGTTTTCTGCGAGAGCTGCTTGACAACGGCAGTTCAACTTTTGAGTGCCAGACACAACGGCTACCTTCGAAGCACCATTTATCTGCTTTTATGAATTGTTCGGGTAATGAACAGCTGTTTCATTCTAACGATCACACACTCCGAATGGGCGCAGGTTCAACTTCCAAACGGAGGCATTCGCGTATGTTCCAGATCAAACTTGCCGAGTATCTCATCGTCAGACGACTACAACTTTCTTCAAGAGCAGATTAATACTTTTGCAGATGAGCTCGGATCCTCCATAGTCGCATCTATTCTATTTCTTTCCCGACTGAGTACCCGTCTACTATCAGTTTGATAGCACAGGGTATTGGGTGGGTGGTATATACCTGTACGTATACGGTAAGCCAATTAAGCGGTTACTGTAATGCCCTTCTTATACCTGCCTGTAGGGTAATCTCAATAATTGTTTGCGCTGATTGTTGACCTTTTCCTGACATTTCCACTCGAGCAGAATATTGACTGAGCCTGATATACCCCTCTTCCAAAAAACGAGAATAGCATAGGGTGCAGACCATGCACCACAAATGACGGCGAGCTGATTTTCAGTAAAGAATAGTTGTAATTAGTGGCGATTGATAATATACAACTGCAACAGGCTATCCTACTATATATACAGGGTGGCTACTAAATATTGGCGCATGGTTTATTGACCATATTTCCAAAAAGAGAAGCTATTACATCTTCAGAGGTTTATCTTTATATACAGTAAACATAACAATTCATTACTAGAAGAAGATGCTCGAAAGGCCTCCTTCGGCAGCGATACAGGCTTCAAGTCTCTTCTCAACTGACATCACCGTGGGCCGCAAGCAGTTTTCGTCGAGTTACTTCAACGCTTCCTCCTAGGAAGCCTTCAGGAAGTCCAAACTTCGATGTTGCCTAGAAGGCATCTTCTGCTGCAGGAAGCCCCACACCGCAAAATCCATTGGGTTCAATCGGGTGAGTTAGATGGCCAAACATCTGGTGACCAGTAACCTGGAAAATGGCGGTCACAGAACACCAGCGTAGATTTTGCGGCATGGGGAGGCGCCTAGTCTTGCTGAAGAAGGCACTGACATTTGCTGGAGGTCGAAACAGTCCATGGAAGGAGCACATCACGTAAAATTGTTTCCTGGTAGATCTGGGCGTTAATTTTGACGGATTTGTCCACAAAGACAAGCGGTGTCTCGGTTTCGGAAGTAATTCCTGCCCAAATCATGACAGATTTTGGAAATCGGCTCCTTGTGTGCGCACGACGTCGAGCAGAATGTCTGCTAGCCGGATCCAACAATTGCCTGTCCTTTTGAGAATTGTGCGCCAATTCCAGTGTGATGATCTTCTCGCGTCACGTTGACGTCACTTACTTGCGGCCCACGGTGATGTCAGTTGAGAAGAGACTTGAAGCCTGTATCACTGCCGAGGGAGGCCATTTCGAGCACCTTCTTCAGTGATGCATGGATATGTTTTACTGTATATAAAAATAAACTTCTGAATATGTAATAGTTTCTCTTTGCAAAAATATGGTCAATAAACCATGCGCCAATATTTAGTAGCCACCCTGTAAATCGGCTAAGCCGCTTTGTGCGTGTGTGGTGTGTGTGTGTGTGTGTATGTGTTTGTCTGTCTGACCGGAAATTCATAGCTCGGGCACCAGTGGTCGTCAGGAGTTGGTTTCAAGATATGATATAGGGGGTGGGACGGGAACATATTTGGTGGGGTAAAGAAAGTGATAACAACTGATAAGGGCTGATAAAAGGCGCTAGAACGCAAGTGTCGCGAAATTCATAGCTCGGGCACCAGTGGTCGTCAGGAGTTGGTTTCAAGATATGATATAGGGGGTGGGACGGGAACATATTTGGTGGGGGTAGAAAGTGATACAACTGATAAGGGCTGATAAAAGGCGCTACAATACCGCTCACAGAATGTGAAAAAATGACGGTGATTGACCGTCGCACCTATCAAAGACCGTCGCACTACCATAACTCCGCTGAAAGCGAATGAAACGGAAAAATTTAAACTCCTATAGATACGTCTCCTCACAACGAGTTCCAGGATGTGTTATGGGTCGGGATCGGTTAAGTAGGTCACCAGCTTTACCTTTTAAGCTGGGGCAAAATCCAATTCTGACCTCAAGGTAGAACACCATTCGTTAGATCCCATGTTTATGTGCACAGTAGTCTACCGCTCGCACACTCCTCCTTTTTTGATGCATTTTTATCCATGTTTCACAGTCGTTCCCGATGCGAACGAGCTCTTCAATTTTACGACATTTCCAAATTTTGAAAGCGTATTTCATCAAAGTCTGGAGGAAATACGACGAAACGGCTACAAGATCTTGAACTAGGTATGTAACTGCGCAACAACTTTGTTGTTTATTGGAATGCAGCAAAGCGGTTCTTACATAATTTTAGCTCTGAATATCGGTATACGTCAAATTCTTCGAGCACAATCACTTTTCTTTTCTTTCCGAAATTGCGCTTAAGCGAAATGTATGACCAACGAATCGAATGGTTATTCCAAGAATATGACATATTGTGCCGTATAATGGCAATAATGGCTTATGAACAAACGTTAAGGTAAACTAGATAAGAGACAATACCTCACCCTTTGAAAAAAATTTACGGACAGAGAATACAGAACTAGTGTTGAAATTCATACAGTTGTACTCGGCGCGATGAATGCTATCCGATGATATATAAGTTATTACCCAAAGACTACTTTGTTTTTACTCGTTTTTTTCCTTCGTGATCGCTAGCCAATGACCAATCGCTAGCTGACCTCGTAATTACCCTACGCTGCGAGGGTCAATGCCTCGCGGTGTTATCACTCCTCTTCGAGGCATGTTCGGCTTCCGAATACCGCTAAGCGTCGTATTTCTGAAGCCCCTTCAGATTCCCGTAGTTGGAAGGAGTGAGAAGCGATCCACTCTAGCTTAGGCCGTGGAACGCCAGCGAATCCTCCTGTGGCACAGCAATGCAACGTGACTGGAATGGCGCTTTGGGTTTTCAAAATTATGCCTCACTTATTTGCATTCGTTCTTATTAGGATTAGGTGTCGTATTCTTTTTTTGATTTCCTCTTTTTTTCTAGTACCTTGATTTCATGGGGTTCCCCGTTGGCCAGTCGTTGTATTCAGTTCCCTCAATTTATCTCATTTTGTCAACTTGATATGTACACGATAAAATATAAAGAATGAAGAATTTGGGTTTGATCATCTCTTTTTTACTTATCAATCTTTTCCAAATTCTTTTTTTTTGCTGGTCATTGGAAAATGTTACGAA